TTCCTTCTTTATTTCTTTCATTTTTCTGTCCTTCTCTTTTCTTCTATTTTATTATTTTTTTATAGTTGTTTGGATATATACTTTTATATTGTTAGTGTTTCATATTTCTATTATTATCTTCCTTTCCTTTCTTTTTTTCTTTTTTTTGATACTATTTCTTTTTCCCTCATTTCCTTTGAAATTAAATTTTGCAACACTTCYTAATTGATCTTTTTCATTTCTTTTCCTCTTTTCTCTTTTTTTTTATGATTTTTTATTTTGATTTGATTTTTTTCTTTTATATTAATTTTTCTCTTTTTTATTTTCTTATTTTTTTTAGATTTTTATATATTTATTCTAAARTACACCCTGCAAAGAACATGCAAGCAAGTAAAGCTGAGATAGCTAACGTCCTAAATGATTAGGATGACATATAAAGCGTGACACATGCAGAGAGGGTTTGACATCTTGAYTCAATGGTTCCACAAGGTTGCTAGCCTTCTAACCTCTACCTATTGAACAAATGGGCTTTTTAGATTGGTAGCTCATAAGAACTTTCAGCACGGCCAACAAGTACATTGATCCAGTGGCTTAAGCTTATAGCCTTCTCCTATAGCACAAAGTGATTCTAATTCTAATAAAAGATGATGTGTGTAGATAATGTGTGAGCAACCATACAAAGGGAGAAGCAAAGTATCAAACAATTAAGCAACAACTAACAAGAACGAAGCAATTATCATTATGAAATAAAGCGATAAAATAAAAGCATGCTTTTTTTTATAGAAAAAATAAACGCATGCTTATTCATAAAAAAGAACAATTCAAGCAAAATGGCCTCCATGTGGGCCCCACCTACCATCCAAGAACTCCATAGYGGAGTCTCCAATCTATGAGCATCAGAAAACTACTCATTTGAGCTGAGTTAAAGTCATCACCTCATTAGTCAAGCAAAACGGAGGTGATGAGACAACCTGACAATTATGTTTAAAATTGTTTTGGCTCGATAATGAGTTCAAACCCAAGGCACTAGTTAAACCAATCTAGGAGAGACTCGGATGAGAGAGGGAAGGAATTAGGTAYCCTTCTCCTATGATCGATAGGTGGGGCCACTTGAGAACCTAGATGAYGTGAACATGATCAGGGTAGAAAAGATATATATATTACCATCACATTTCTTAAACATCCAACAAAATTATGATGTTTGGAATGGGAGATTGAAATTCCATATTTAATTTGAGTTATTGTATATATGATTGTTTTTAGACAATATTAATCATATGTTCATTTCATTCATATATTGTAAAACATTGTGTTTCTTTGGAAGATTCAGCCTCTCTACTACATAAATCTTTTGTCTAAGGAGCCATTTGATAACAACTAAAGTGGCATAATTGAAAAGCTTAATGCTTTGTCTTCCAAGGAGGTTGTCACAACCTCCTTAAAGCTAAAGTTCGATAGATCACCACAATATTTAATTTAAATTTTTCAAAAGTTAATCTAGTTGTCTCCATGTGTTAGAAAGATAATCAAGGGTTTCGTTAAGAAAAAAGAGATTGAATTGCATAATGTAAAATATTAATTTTTTGAAAGTTGTGACAGGGTAGACAAGCAAACACTTTTAGGAAAAACTACATATTATTTTCTTGTAAAATCTTTTGCATGGCTTCTGATGTGGCTCTTGATGATGGAGTTAAATCATATTATTATTTAATGTTTCTAGGCATATTTATATTAAACTTATACATGACATAATGAATAAACCAAACAAATGTGATAAAACACCAATTCAAACACCATAAACATAAAATGTAAAGAGGGCATGCACTTATTAATATAACATGTGTTAGACCATCTCAGCGAGGAAATTTCATTGACATTGTCWTGCTGCTCTCCATGCTATGTTGCCCAGATGCATTATAAGGGTAATCACTTAATGATATAGGATAGAGGTCTGAGAAATTAGATAGTAAGT